AACTAAAGTATTGAACACAATAATAGGTTGTTGGATGGGGATTTAGCTCAATGGTTCCGTCGCCTGCCTCGCAAGCGCAAGGACCCAAGTTCGATCCCCCCAAAAAAAAAAAAAAAAAAAAAAAGGTTGTGTTTTAACGTAGATTCTTAACCATGTAAAATTTCAAAAATTGAAACTTTATATGTGCATATAAATGATCCTAAGGTTAGGTCATACCAAGCCATTTTTCCCCGTCTGCCATTGGAGTTTCTTTTCTGTTCTAAGTGTTTTCTTCAGTAGAGAAGCCATCTGTGGATATATGATAAATATTTTACTTATGCATACTGGAAAGTAACACTAGGTGTCTTGGGGAGCGAAGGACTTGCATATATATATATATATATATATATATATATATTTCTTTTGGTACCGGGATCAAACTCGGGACCTTGTGCTTGCGAGGCAGGTGGCAGCACCACTGAGCTAAAACCCTGGCCCAGACCTACTTATATTCTTGAATTAAAGTTGTTAACCATGTTCACGTGTGTTTTCCTAGGGGCAAGAAATTCAGAGGATGTCTGGGATTTTTGGGGGTTTTTTGGTACTGGGGATCAAACTCGGGACCTTGCACTTGCGAGACAGGCAGCGGAACCACTGAGTTAAATCCCCAGCCCCCAGAAAGACAATCTTTAGTATGCTAGTTCATTTTCTACTTGTACAGCTTTTATTATGTATATAAATTAGATTTTCTGTCTCATGTTTTGAATTACAAAATAAATTATTTCCTTTTCATATCTTTTAAAAACTTTGCCTATTTATGTATAAGATCTTTAATTGTATTTAACCAAGATTTCTGAAGTCCTAACCTGTGCTTGATGACAAAAAAGCTTTTTTTCAAACATAAATTTAATGTATCAAGGGCAAAAGTAAAATGTTCTCTTCATTATTTATAAAAATTGTCTCCACTAGATCAATAAATCAGAGAAGCCAGAAAGCTGCGATAATGTGAAGGTGGTTGTTAGGTGCCGGCCCCTCAATGAGAGAGAGAAGTCAATGTGCTACAGGCAGGCGGTCAGCGTGGAGGAGATGCGGGGAACCATCACTGTACACAAGGCTGATTCTTCCAATGAGCCTCCAAAGACATTTACTTTTGATACTGTTTTTGGACCAGAGAGTAAACAACTCGACGTTTATAACTTAACTGCAAGACCTATTATTGACTCTGTTTTAGAAGGCTACAATGGTAAGTAAATACAGAGTTTACTTTTCTTAACCCTTATTGAGGCATACTACCTCATAAATTCACCAGTGCAACTCAGTTTGATGAGTTATAGTAAATTTATACAGTGCGAAATCATTACCATAATCCAGTTCTAGAACACGTCTACTTGTCCCAAAAGTTCTTTATGCTAATTTGCTGCCCTACCTCCCAGGCAGCCATTGATCTGCTTCTGTCATAGTTTTGCTTTTTCTTGAAGTTTTATGTAAATGACATCATATATGATGTATCATCTTTTTTTCTGTTTTCTATCACTTGACATGTTCTGGAAGTTCTCCCTTGCTTTGCATCTATCAGTAGTTCGTAGCTTTTTATTGCTGAGTTGCGTTCCATTGTATGATATAACACATTTTGTTTATCCATTCACCAGTTGATGGAAGTCTGGATTGTTTCCAGATTTTCAAAGATGGTTTATGGGTTTTTAAGCTGCCAGAATCTTTTCCAAAGTGGTGACCATGCTATTCCCCTCCACACCAGTGTGATAGGAGAGTCCTAGTTCCTTTACAGATTGACAACATTGGATCATCAGTCTTTTTAATTATTGCATTCTGTAATGGATCTGTAATGATAAAATCTCATCATGTTTTAACTTAAATTTCTGTAGTAACTATATGATGTTGCATATCTTTTCATGCACTTAGCCATTTATATCTTCTTTGGTGAAATGTCACTTAAAATATTTTGCCCATTTTAAAATTTGGTTGGCCAGCTTCTAATTTTTTATATATTCTGAATTGAAATTTATGACTAGGTATTTTTGCTTAGTTTGTGGCTTATCTTAATTTTCTCAATGGTGCTTTTAAAGGAAAAAAAAATCTGAATTTTTTTTTTTCTTTGTGGTACCAGGGATCGAACTCAGGACCTTGTGCTTGTGAGGCAGGTGAGGCAACACTGAGCTAAATCCCCAGCCCAGAAAATCGCAAAATTCTGATGAGATTAAACAAGACTTAAATAAGTGGAGAGCTATATCATATTCAAGGATTGAGACTCAGTATTATCAGAATCACAGTTCAACACAATTTTTACCTAATTCCCATCAAGTGTTTTGTGAAAATCGTTAAAGTGATTCTAAAATTTATATAAAAATGCAAAGATCGAAAGTGCAAGGTCCCGAGTTCGAACCCCGATAACAACAACAAAAAGGATAAAAATGCAAAGAACCTAAAAATGCCAAAACAGTTTTGAAAAAGTGGTACCTCACCTGCCTGGCAAGTGCAAGGTCCTGAGTTCGATTACCGGTACCAAAAAAAAAAGAATTTTGTGATTTTAATATACAGGTCATACAATTTTTGATAAATGTATTCTTATATATTTTTGATTTTTGTTTTCATAATTTCATGTTGGATTATATGTTGCTAATATATGGAAATACAGTTTTTTATGAAAATGATACAATGTACTCATAATTATTTTACAGTATATAATTCATCAGTTAATAGGATTCAGTAAATTCACAGTATTATATAACTGTCACCATTGTCCATTTCCAAAACAATTCTGTCACCCCAAGAAAGGAGTCCAGTACTTGTTAGGAGTCACTTTCAACACCTTCCCCACAAAGCAACCACTAATCTACTATTCTTTTTTTTTTTTTTTTTTTTTTGTACCAGGGATCGAACTTGGAACCTTGAACTTGCGAGGCAGGCACTGGAACCACTGAGCTAAATCCCCAGCCCTAATCTACTATTCTTTTTATGAATTTTCTTATTACCGTCATTTCCTATAAATAGAATCCTACAACACATCATCTTTTGTATCTGGCTTCTTAGCATAATGTTTTCAAGGTTTATCCACATTGTGGAAAGTATCAGTTCTTTATTTTTATGGCCAAATAATATTCCATTGTATAGATATGACTTACTTTGTTTATCTAGTTGTCAATTGGTGAACATTTGAATAGTTTCTACTTTTTAGCTATTATGAATAATGCTGGTTTTTCTTTTTTTTTTTTTTTCTTTGGTTGTGTTTTGGTACTGGGGATTGAACTCGGGTCCTTGCCCTTGTGGAGCAGGCGGCAGAACCACTGAGCTAAATCCCCAGCCCTAAGCTGGTTTTTTTTATACAAGGTTTGGTATGAACATCATTTTCTCCCCTCAGTACTGGGGATTGAACCTATGGCTTTTACACTGAGCTATATCCCCCCCACACTCTTGTTTTATTTTGAGACAGGGTCTCTCTATTCTGAAAGTTTTTAACTCTCTCTCTTTTTTTGATTTTTGGGTCTTTTGGTACTGGGGACTGAACTCAGGACCTTGCACTTTCGAGGCAAGGCACGGTGCCATTGAGCTAAATCCCCGTCCCCTCTTTTATTTTTTTGTTTTTTGAGACAGGGTCTCACTACATAGTTCAGGCTGGCTTTGAACTCACTGTGTAGTCCAGGCTGGACTCGAATTGACAGCCTCCTGAGGGCTAGGATGATAGGTGAACCCTCTTGAATAGAAACATAGGAGTGGAATTGAGTCCATGCTAACTTTGACTTGTTGAGGAGTGGTCAGATTGTTTTCCATAGTGTCTGCGCCATTTTACATTCTCACCAGCAATGCTCGGGTTTCCGGTTTCGCTACATCCTTGCCAATGCTTGTTACTATCTTTCTGATGCAGCCATTCTAGTGGGCATTAAGTGGTATTGCATTTTGGTTTGCATTTGATTTTTGTATATTGACCCCGTTCGCATCTTGAAACCTTGCTAAACTTGCTTATTAATTTTAGTAGGGTTTTTTGGTGTGGTTTGCTTAAAAAAATGTATATTCTCTAGGATTTTCTACATGCAGGATTATGCAGTTTACAAATAGTGTTTAACTTCTTTCTTTTCAGTCCTTATGCCTTTAAATTTCTTTTTGTTGCCTGATTACCCTAGCTAGAATGTCCATCAGTGTTGCATAGAAGTGGTGGAAGTGGACATTTTTGTCTTGTTCTGGAACTGAGGGAAACTGTATTAATTCTTTCATTAGTAAGCGTGCTATTATCTATAGATTTTTTTTCATAAAGATGCTTTGTCATGGGCTGAGGATTTAGCTCAGTGGTGCCGCCTGCCTTGCAAGTGCTAGGTCCTAAGTTCGATCCCTAGTACAAAAAAAAAAAAAGCAATTTTTTCCTGCAACTATTAAAATCGTCTTTTTAAGTTTGTTAATATAGTTAATTACATGGATTGGTTTTTCACTGTCTTTTTGGTTTTTTTGGTTTTTTGGTACCGGGGATCGAATTCGGGACCTTGCACTTGCAAGGCAGGTGGCAGAACCACTGAGCTAAATCCCCGGGCCGATTTTTCAATGTGAAATCAGCTTTGCTCCTTGGTCATGAAGTATTATTCTTGTCAAATGTTAGATTTGATTTGCCAAAGTTTTGTGTACATTTTTTGCGTCCATGTTTGTGAGGGATATAAGAATATATATTTTCTTATAATGTCTTTATCCAGTTTTGGTATCAGAATAATGTTAACTTTATAAAATGTGTTGGGAAGTATTTCCTTTTTGATTTTATAGAATAATTTATTTAGAATTAGCATTATTTCTTCTTTAAATATTGATAGAATTCATCAGTAAAGCTACTTGGGTTTGGAGTTTCCTTTCTGGGAAGATTTGTAAGTTGTACAGATTCAGTTTCTTTTTTTTTTTTTTTGGTACCAGGGATCAAACTTGGGTCCTTGCGCTTGCACAGCAGTCAGCGAAACCACTGAGCTAAATCCCCAGCCCCAGATTCAGCTTCTTTAATAGATCAAGGGCTATTCTGGTTATCCGTTGTTTTTCTTGAGTGAGTTTTGGTAATTTATCTTTCATAGAATTTCTCTTTTTCATTGAAGCAAAAAGTTATTGGCAAAAAGTTGTTTATACTGTTCCTTTGTTATTCTTAGAATGTAGTGAGAAAACCTTTCTCATTCCTGATATTGATAATTTGTGTCTGTTTTTCTCCTGACTCAGTAGATGTTTATCAGTTTTACTGATCTTCTGAGAGAACCAGTATATGGTTTTAATATTCATATATTGTTTTTATGTTTTCTATTTCATTGCTTTCTCTCTGGTCTTTATTATTTCTTTTCGCCTACTCATTTAATTTGATCTTCTTTTACTACTTTCTTAGTGTGGATTAGAAGTTGAAATCATTATTTTGAGACCTTTCTTCCTTTCTAGTGGAGGAGTTTAATTATATAAATTATCTACCAAGTACTGTTTTAGGGGAACTCATCGATTTTGACATAGTATGTTTTCATTTTTTAATGCAGTTCAAAATATTTTCTACTTTACCTCTTAATTTCTTCTTTGAGTCCTGAGTGATTTAAAAGTGTGTTTCTTAGTTTCTAGATATTTATTTTCCAAGATTTTTCTGTTACTGATTTTAGTTTAATTTCATTTTAGAGAATATACTTTGTATGATTTAAATCTTTTAAATTTCTTGACTTGTTTTATATCCTAAAATGTACTTATTATTAGTAAATGCTTTGTGTATACTTGAAAAGAATATGTGTGTGTGTGTGTGTGTGTGTGTGTACATTCTGCTATTGTTGGACAAAGTGTTCTACAAATGTCTGTTAGGTTAATTTGTTTCATAGTGTTGTTCAAGTGGTCTGTCAGTTATTGAGAGAGGAGTATTGTATTTTCTGACTATATTTTCAGATTTGCCTATTTCTTTTGGTTCTATCATCAGGGTTTTTTTGTTTGTTTATTTTTTGGTGTATTTTTTTTTTGGTACTGGTGATCGAACTTGGGACCTTGTGCTTGCGAGGCAGGTGGCAGAACCACTGAGCTAAATCCCTGGCCCTTGGTTCTATCAGTTTTTGTTTCACGTAATTTTTTTTTCCTTTTTTTTTTTTGGTCGAGACAAGGTCTTACTACCGAGTTCAGGCCAGCCTTGCACTCACTGTGTAGCCCAGGCCCACCTTGAACTTGTAGCAGTCCTCCTACCTCAGCCTCCCAAGTACTACCAGGCCTGCCTACATCCTTATCTTATATATAATATGCCTTTGGTCCTCTGGTTTTGTTTTTGTTTTTGTTGTTTTAAGATTTTCTTTATCATTGGTTTCATGCAACTTAATTATATTTTTGGTGTATTTTTCTTTGTGTTCCTTGTGCTTGTGGCTTATTAAGCTTTGTGAATTTGTAATTTTAATAAAATTTGGAGACCATTTCAGCCAATATTTCTTTAAATAGTCTTTCTCTTCCTACTCTATACCTTTTTCCAAACTCCAAAGACATGTAGGAGTGCTTGAAGTTAGGCTGCTTGGGAATTGTCACTGCTGCTCTGTTCTGTTTTCTGTTTTCTCTCTGGGTTGCTTTTACTGCTGTATTTTCTAGTTTATTAATGGTTTCTTCTGCAGTGTCTAATCTGCCCCTAACACTGTCCATTGTATATTTCATTTCACACATCGTAGTGGTCGTCTCTAAAAGTTTTATTTGGATTTTTGTATCTCCCATTCATGTTTCTTAAATTTTTAACATATTGAGTATAATTTTCATAAATTTTTTTTTTTTTTTAATACTGGGGATCGAACTCGGGTCCTTGCGCTTGCGAGGCAGGCGGTGGAACCACTGAGCTAAATCCCCGGCAATTTTCATAATTTTTTCACTGTATTTGTCTGCTAATTCTAACATCAGTGTCAGTTCTGACAGTTTTTTTTTTTGGTACCGCGAATCGAACTCAGGACCTTGTGCTTGCCAGGCAGGCACCAGCACCCCTGAGCTAAATCCCCAACCCTCTGGATTAGTTTTAATGGATTGATTCGTTTCTTCATTATGGGTCATATCATTTTAAAAAAATTTGTTACTAAATTCCAGAGCCATGTGTAGTCCAGAGTTAATTGTTCTCCACTACTGAGGTGAGATGCTTTTGTACACTATGCCTGACTTCCTGTGAATCATGGGGTTTTCCAGTGTGTGTGGTGGGAGCAGATATTGTTCCTGCCTCGTGTGAATGATGAGTGTCCATCCTTCCAGTCCTGCCAGGCAGTCTCCCCCAGTGCTTACTTTGGTTTCTCCACACTCCTGTGCTAGTCAGTACTCGGGGTACTCTGCAGATGGCTGAGATCTCTGCAGCTCACACCTCTCCGGCCCTGCAGTCGCACTGTGGAGCTCTCTTGGCATGTCGTCCTTAATTCAGGGAGTCTGCTGGCCTGTACTCGAGGACCCCTCCTGTTCCATGAGTAGATTTTCTCTTAAGAGAGTAAGGTGGGCAGTCATAGGACCCACCTCACCTCTTTTCCATCCTTTAGAAATTAGTCCTTTAGTGACTGATGTTCACTGTCTTGCAAACTGTTGTTTCATGTTTTTGTCATCTCAGTTTCAGCCAAGAAGATATATTTGGTCCCTTTCCATCTTGGTTGGAAGCACAAATGTCACTAGTTTAATTTTGAGTTAAAAGAATTATATGCTTTTTTGTTGTTTTTTTTTGTTTTTTAGTACTGGGGATCAAACTCAGGACCTTGTGCTTGCGAGACAGGTGACGGAACCACTGAGCTAAATCCCCAACCACAATTGTATGGTTTTAAAAATAAATGCTATGGGGCCGGGGACTTAGCTCAGTGGTTTCGCCGCCTGCAGCGCAAGCTCAAGGACCCGAGTTCGATCCCTGGTACCCAAAAAAAATAAAAAAAATAAAAAATGCTATAGGGGCCGGGGATTTAGCGCAGTGGTTTCGCCGCCTGCTGTGCAAGCACAAGGACCCGAGTTCGATCCCCGGTACAAAAAAAAAAAAAAAATTAAAAAAAATAAATGCTATACAGAATAGTATTTGAGTATCAAGAGTTTGGACACTATTTTCTTTTTTTTTGGGTACCAGGGATCGAACTCGGGTCCTTGCACTTGCGAGGCAGGCGGCGGAACCACTGAGCTAAATCCCTGGCCCTGGACACTATTTTCTAGTGTCTCATGCTAACTGAAAATTGTCAGTAACAATAGAAAAACATGAAAAAGGACAAAAATTATAATGCTGTAATATATAATGCAGTTTACTGTTCATTATTGAAATGTCATTTAGCTATAACTTCTTGCTTTCTCAACGGCAAATATGTAATCTTTCTATTATTTAAAAATAATTTTACCTGGATGCCATAGTGGGTGCCTTTAGGTCCCACATATGTGGGAACCTGGGCTTTTGAGACCAGCTTGGGCCAAATAGCAAAACCCTGACTCTAAATAAATAAATTAATTAAATTAAATAATAATATTTTGTAACAATTAATAAGCTTTTCAGAGAAATTTTAGGTTTACAGTAAAATTCACAGCAGAATGTACAGCAGGTTCTCATATAATTCCCACTCCCACACATTCACTCCCTTCTCCATGATGGTCCTCCTCCTGCAGAGAAGCACACGTGTGACTCAGTACCATCCGAAGCCCATAGTTTGCTTTATGGTTTCCTCTTGCTGTTGTCCATTCTGTGGTCTTGGACGGATGTGTAGTGATTCCTACCCAACGCGACAGTGCGTGCAAAGCACCGTGGTTTCCGCTAGGCTCAGCTCTCCTGTGCTGCCTTGTTCATCTTGCTCTCTCAGCGTGGCAGCACCGATAGGTTTCTGGCCTCCATAGTTTTGCCTTTTCCAGAATGACATACAGTTGGAGCCATACAGTATAAAACCTTTTCAGATGGGCTTTTTTTACTGAGTAATATGCTTTTAAGCTTACCCCCTTTCTTTTCTGGAGTTGATAGCACATTTAATTTTAGGGCTGAATATTAGTTTATTGGATGGATCACAGTTTATTCACCTACTGAAGACATCTTGGTTTCTTCCAGGTTCTGACAATTATCAGTAAAGCTGCTATGGACATTCATGTGCAGGCTTTTGTACAGACCTTTTAGCATTTTTAATACATGGCCAGGAACTGAGGAGACAGTAAAAAATTTCAGTCACTTTTTTTTGGCCCCAGATTTTCAGTGCTCCTGCCTCAGTCTCCCAAGTACCATTTTAGATTTTTAAAAGTAATATTTTAGGGGCTGGGGATTTAGCTCAGTGGTTCTGCCATTTGCATTGCAAGCGGAAGGACCCAAGTTCGATCCCTGGTACCAAAAAAAAAAACAGTAGCTGTTGTCATTAGACAGCTTATTATTTAATAATCCATTGTGTTTCTCAGAGTTCATAATATTTTAGCTACTTTGAATGTAGTAAGTTATATTCCTAATGGCAGAGATTGAAATACTTAGCAGTTTGAAAAAGATTGTAGGTTTAAAAAAAATCTCTATGTGGGGCCGGGGATTTAGCTGATTGGCACCACACCTTTCTCACAAGCACAAGGTCCTGAGTTCAATCCCTGGTACAAAAAAAAAAAAGAGCTCTATGTGTAGAATGTGGTTTGTGGTGTGATTATTTTTATAAGAGTCTGAAAATGATGATGTCATTTGTTAGCTGGATAGGCTATTCATAGTGCAGGAACACTTTCCATTCATGTGTCACACCCTAGGGCCTAGGCCATCTTGTATTGCATTGTCTTGGCCACTACTCTACCTCTCGAACTGGTTTTTCCACATCTACCCTTGCTTCCTTACTTCATCCGCAATATAGCCGAAGTGATCACGATGCCACTGCTCTGACAGAAAGATCATTCTGTGGCTTCACTTTGCTTTTAGTATAAGACCCAAACTGATAGGGTCACCATGACCTTGTGTGGTTAGGGCCTTGCCGGGTTCTTTAGCTTTCTCCACCTACCTTCCCTTTTTGTCTTTGTTTCTTCTTTTCTGACTTCATTTCTGTTTCTCAGAGTATCAGTTCTCTTTCTTCCCTCTTCTCTCTGTACCTATCTGATTCTTATTTGTATTTCAGATCTTATCTTACAACTCAGGACAATCTTCCTGTCCTTTTCTCCCTTCCTCCAGCCATTCTTCTGCTGCTTTGTGTCCTTCCCATCTAGAACATTTCCTTTCTCAGTACTCAGCACTTAGAATTGTTGCCCATTCTCTCCTCCCCAAGATTATACACGTCCTAAGATTAAGATTTTGTCTGTCTTGGGCCAGGGATTTAGCTCAGTGGTTTCGCCGCCTGTTACACAAGGGCAAGGACCCGAGTTCAATCTCTGGTACCAGAAAAAAAAAAGATTTTATCTGTCTTGTTATTCTGCTCTGGGGTACCTACACAATGCCAGGCTCAGATGTGTGGTAAATATTTAGAAAGTTTAAATTGTCTCTCACATTACTTGTAGTAATTGTATTGTTGCTCTTAGTTAATGCTATTTCTTTTCTTTCTTTTTTTTTTTTTTTTTTTGGTACTGGGGATTGAGCTTGGGCCCTTGCACCTGCGCAGCAGGCGGCGAAACCACTGAGCTAAATCCCCAGCCCAATGCTCCTATTTCTTAAAACTATTACTTAAAAATTTTTTTGGAATGAACTTATTTTAGGGAAGCAAAAGCTATCATTTACTGGTACTGCCTACCAGGCCTGGTGTTGATCACTTGAAGTAAATTGTTTCATTTGGTTCGTACTATCGCTCTGAAGTAGTTACTCTGGAACAGTATTTCCTGTGTTACCACTGAAGAGACAATCTCTAGGCAGATAACTTGTTTGGGGTCAAGTGGCCCAAAAGTGGCAGATAAAAATTCAGACTGAGGTCTGTTTGCTCTAGGGCCTGCATGCTTGTGCTGTACTTCTTTGCCTTCTCCAAGTTCATGCCCACCATAAGCAATTAATTATACATTTCTTATAATTTCTTATAATATACACATTTCTTAAAATTTCTTACAATTAGCTATCTGGCAAGATTTTGCGTTTAGGTCTTAGGATACTTTTCATTGACAATTAGGAATATCTCATTGACTCTGATACTGTAACAGTGCTTTTGCATATATCACAGAGTAATGTTATACATTTTGATAATAAAGGTGAATTTTGTACTAGAATAAATTTTGAATTCAAGAAATAAATTATAGTACATTGTCAAAGGACTTGATTTTAAGTGCTATTCTGTAACATTAGACTCTAAAAAGTGACCGATTCTCTTTTTCATTTTCAGGGACTATATTTGCATACGGTCAAACTGGAACAGGCAAAACTTTTACCATGGAAGGTGTTCGAGCTGTTCCTGAACTTAGAGGAATTATTCCCAATTCATTTGCACACATATTTGGTCATATTGCAAAAGCAGAAGGTGATACAAGGTAAAAGAGAATTGTTCTCTAGTATTGAGAAGTGCAAACATAGGAAAGCTATATAGATAAACATTTTAGAAACTTAAAAAAATTTATAAATACTTTATCACCTTCTTTGTACTAAAATAGTTATAGATTTATTTATAGATTTATTTATTTATAGATTTTTGGTTCGAGTGTCATATTTGGAAATATATAATGAAGAAGTTCGTGACCTTCTGGGCAAGGACCAGACACAGAGGTTAGAGGTAAGGATCATTGAATTGGAGTAATTTCCACAGCAATAGAATATTTACCAAAGTACGGTCCTTTTTGTACAAAAGTGTTTTTTGGGTTTTTTTTGGTACCGGGGATCGAACTCAGGACCTTGTGCTTGTGAGGCAGGCAGTGGAACCACTGAGGTAAATCCCTGGTCCAATACAAAAGATATTTTTAATATTTTAAATAAACTTGTTACTTTTTTGTTATAATTACTGAAGCAAGACTGCTGAGTCAGGTGGTAAATGATTGGGAGATTTGATAGATATTGCCAAATTTTTAATTGACAAACAGCAAGGGAAGATTAGTCTTTAAAATATTAATATTGGAATTTTGATTGGCATTGCATTGTCATTAAAATCATTAGAGGAGAATAATATGTGTAGAATAACAGAATAGAATAAGAGTAGCCACCATTTCAGAATTGTATAGAAAAATATATGAGAACAATACCAGCTAGCATTACTGAGCTCTTACAATGTGGTGTGGGCATTCAGTGTAGTTAATGGTAGTTGCTAGCTGTACTATGTTGTTTATTTCATTTAGTACTCCCAGGAGTTCACTTTTACTGATATGGAAACAAATTTAGAGGGATTCATTTATGTGTAGCAAGTGAATAGTAGTATCAGTTAGGATTAAGAAGAAGAGTGGTTTCTGGGGTCCTGCAGTCCTACCTTGAATTCTGGCTCTGATCTTGATTTCTTAACCTCTTAACTACTACACTTCTATGAGCTTTAGTTTTGTCAAGTGAAAATGGAAAGAATAATAGTATACACCTTAAAAGATTAATGCCAGTGTTAACAAATTTAAACAAAGTGTTTAAATCAGTGCCTTCTACATAATATAATAATGAGTAAATGTTGTTTAGCTGGGACACGGTTGATGACATAATAAAGAAGTCACAGGCATATAGAACTGCCATGGCTGCAGTAGCTGCTCATGCAGAGCATCACAGGGACTTGAGTGTTGATTGGTGTCACTGTCAATGGCATGGCCTTGTAGAACAGTAACTAGCCCTTGATAAAGTTCTGAGAAAAATATTCCTCAGTTTTCATTTATTACCATATTATATTATTGTTGTTATTGCTGTTACCATGGCAAAGCACTTTGTCTTTAAAGTTATATATAGGTGTAATTAACTCGGTCTTAGACTTACATAATTATAAATAGGTTTTTTTTGCCCATGTGAATATCTGGTAGGACATCGAACATTGTTCAGGACAATTCTGCTTGGGGCAATACTCAGGATTTTTACTCTCTTAGTCCTTTACTATAAGTGCTGATTGTTTTTCAAGTGAACCAGAAACGCCCCCACCGATTTCTAAAACATTCTGGGTGTGGGAGTAACAGCCTTCATTAAGACCCATTGTTTTACTGTTACAAACTATATTTGTTATAAAAATTAAGTTCATGGGTTTTATGACTTAAGAGCTTGTTTTTGGTGTTGTGGATTAATCCCAGGGCTTTATGCACACTAAGAACATGGTGTACCACTGAGCTACACCCCCAGCCCATGATAAAAATTCTCTGGCAGCATTGGTACCCAGCTTTTTTAACTTTACAAATGTAGAATATTTTATTTCTTCATATTTTATATCTAATTATCTATATTTATTGTATTTTGAATTAATATATTTTGATTAGAAAAAACTTTCAAGTTGATAAAAACCAGTAATTCACAGACAGATGTTAGTTTGAAGACTGTTTCCAGTGGGCAGTGAGATGAACACAAAAAGTGAAAATAGGTGCTTAAAAACTTTATAGCCATTTATAGGCGGGGGATTTACCTCAGTGGTTCCACTGCCTGCCTCACAAGTGCAAGGTCCCGAGTTCGATCTCCAGTACCAAAAAAACAAAACAAAATACAAACCAAAAACAAACAAACAAAAGCCATTGAAAACTTTATAGCCATTTTCATTGCCATGGCAATGAAGTATATGATTTTTCTATTTTTTAAAAAAATTCAGTTTGGCAGATTAGAAATGTACACATTGTCCTTTACAGTAGTCTCCCCCACCCGCTTTGGGAAGCATTGATAGAAACCAGTCATTTTTAAACCTTTAAAAAGGTTTGTCTTAGTTACTTTTCTCTTGTTGCTGAGACAAAATACCCAACACCCAAAGTTAAAGGAGGAAAGGTTTATTTCGCTCACAGTTTGTAGAGGTTTCAGTCCATAATCAGGTGGCTTCAAGGCGGGGTGGATGGCAGACCGGCAGCACAGAGGAGAGACAACATGGCTGGCACGAGGGACTTAACAGAGTCTTCCTGCCCCTTTTGTCTTATTCAGATTACTCAGTGTGGGTAGCACTCACACCCTTAATCCTAGTGCTCTCGGCCTAGCAGTGCACCACGAATCATACACTGTCGATTCAGCCACCTCCGAAATAGCTCCACCTCATTTGCATGAGGCTTTGGGGGGATGTCTAAACAGAAGCCATAACAAGGTGTAAGCATCTGAACACCTTTATCAGTCCACACCTGATGCCGAAGAAGCACATGTGAAGAGGTGGGAGTGGAGCTGTCCTTAGGAGTTGTCGCACCTGGAGACTCTGGGTCCCACAGTAGTCCCTGAGTGCCACTGGGATCCTTGGGAGCTTCTCAGGGCACAGTTTGAAGCCCACTGGCTTATGGAAACCATACTCTTTTTACTACTATAAAACTGAGGTTAATTTATATCTCATAACAGAAAGAGGATAATTTTTACTAGTTTATAAATCTTAAAAATTGTTATGAAGAAGATACACAAAATCCTGAGCTAGATCCAAAATAAACACCTGCACTTTGGAGTATCTTTCTTCGTAACTTCTGCCCCTGAAACTGTTCACAGTTTGCCTTTGGCTCTGAGGTGTTACTACCTGTGGAATGGCTTTCCCCACTGATAGCCATAGGCATCTGCTCCTTTTCACCTTATTCTGTTGGCTTGTGTTGTCTAGGCCCTCCAAAGTGAATTTTGTGTATACAGCAATATCTGTATTTTAGGTAATTCTGTCCTAAATTCATTCTTCAAAATTGGCAAAAGTAACCCCTAGAAAGGTGGTATTTTTACCTGAATGCCACAACACAAATCTAATTGTGTTTTGTTTTTTTGGGTTTTTTTGGTACTGGGGATCGAACTTGGGACCTTGCACTTGTGAGGCAGGCGGTGGAACCACAGAGCTAAATCCCCAGCCCCTCACAGCTCTAATTGTCATATTTAGCTGCTTGAAATTTTCCAGTGGCTTCAGATTGCTATTACCATTAAGACTGATGACTGTTCTTAGCCTTGTCTCTCTCTGTCTGTATAACCAAATATCTGGCTTGTTTTTTCCAGCTACTGTGTCTTTTGTTTGATTTTTATTTTTTGTAAGTGTGTAGGTCTCCCTTACCCCCATTTTAGGATGTTGCACATTTTCTTATCCTCTCTGCTCTGAACCCCTCCTGTTTCTTCTTCAAGTTTTAGTTTTTCAAGCATCATCTTGGGGCAGTTTATCCTGTCTCCTTCACCACCTTAGGTGTGTAATGTAGTCTGACTTGCATTTTTTAAATAGCATCATCACAGCTGAAATAAAATAATTTTTGTATGTAATGGTTTGTATGTTCATCCTATCAATTTTTACCACCACAAGTGAAGGGATTGTATCTTGTTCATATCTGTATCCTCACAGTCTTGTAAAGTATCAAATTTATAGTAGATGTTCAATAAATAATTGTGGAAAAGTTACTGATGTAAGTGTAAAGTATTGATTTATTTATTTATTTTAGGTTAAAGAAAGACCTGATGTAGGAGTTTATATCAAAGATTTATCAGCTTATGTGGTAAATAATGCTGATGATATGGATAGAATTATGACACTAGGCCACAAAAATCGTAAGTATAGCAATAATTGTGATGTTGGGTAGACTGGTTGAGAAATAACTAGTATGGCACTTAGCCATATAGATTCTGGATTTTTAGGTTTCTTGAAAACTTCCCTTTGACTATTTACTATGTAAGGACACATATGTGAATGAAAGATAAGACAAGATTGTTTTCTTTGCTGACCAAAATTTTTATTTCTTTTAAATAATGCTAAATGCTCATACAGCTACATATATATAATAAGGATACAGTATTAACTTCACAAGAAATCAGGAGAATGCAAATTAAAACAATGAGAAATATTTCACCCATCAAATTGGATAAATACCCAGATTCATTTTTTCTTTGAAGATATAGGTACTGAGAGGGAATGGAAATCTGTACAGCATTTTTGAAGGATAGTGTTAATAGTATGTGTGGATTTTTTTTTTTTTGGTACCGGGGAGAGAACTCCGGTCCTGGCGCTTGCGCAGCAGGTGGCGAAACCACTGAGCTAAATGCCCGGCCCTCTGTGGATATTTTTAAAATATGTTATTTCTGGCCCATTGTTTCTAATTTTAGATATATATTCTAGAAAAGTATTTTCAGATATAAACGATCTAAATAATCATCAGTACAACTCTGGTTTATGTAATTATAGTACAAAATACTGTACACATAAGAGATAATGTTAAATGGAAAAAAACCTCGGAAGATAAAATAAGACCTACTAGTCTGTGAAAACATATGTGTATCATTACTGGTTAGTATAGCTTTGGGGAAAGTTTCATCATTTTATTTAAAAGAAGCTAAAATATATAGTATAGAATCATAAGTCCCTGTGTTTCTTTTCAGTAATTGTTTTAGACCTTCAGTTATTCTATTTTTAATTTCGTTAACAATTCATTATGAAAAATTTCAAACATACAGGCAAGCTGAACATTTTTACAGCAAGCATTTTTATGAGTCTTCCATTAACATATTACTCTCCTTGCTTTCTTATGTTTCTACCCACCATTTCCTCTGCCTTATCATTTCATGTACTTCAAAAGTAAATTACACCAGGAGTAGTGGTGCACACCTGTAATCCCAGCCCTCAGAAGGCTGAGGCAAGAGGGTCACAAAGTTGAGGCCAAGCTGGACAACTTAGCGAGACCTTGTCTCAAAAAACCAAACCAAAGCAAAAAAAGTAAATTGCACAAAGTCAGTATGCTTTTCTCTAAATATTATAGCATGCACATCATGAACTAAAATTTCATATTTCTTTCAAGGTAAAGTGTATTTTTGGTCCTGGGGATTGAACTCAGGACCTTGCACTTGCGAGGCAGGCATGGTATCACTGAGCTAAATCCCTGGCCCCAGTAAAGTGGTTTTTTAAATTTTTATTTTTATTGACACAGAGATTTTGTTTGTGGAATATAGTGTGACATTTCAGTACAGTTATGTGTATGATCAGATCATTTTCATTGACCTTCTTTCATTGGGCTTTGTGCAGTTTACATTAAAGTCATATGACTTCTAATAGTCAAGTGCTAATAAAGAATACACTTATAATGTCCTAATTGGAAAAATCAAAGCATGGTTAGAAAAGTTCTGCATGAATATGTATAGTAGGAAGATAATTTTGGAATTAGGTAAAATTAATGCTTTTAGAGTACTTCAGAATTTAAGAAAAACTAAATATATGCTTATTGCTTATATAGTCTGTTCATGTAATCTACATACACAAATGTTAGTATTTCTAAATGAATATTTTACAGAAATGGGGTCATACTACACAGTATGTTCCTCTTTTACTTGGCTTTTTTTTTTCCTTAAATTCTTTCATTGGTACATTTTAGGTGTACAATACATTTACATTTCTCATTGGGAACTTGTACCTTTACATGATGCATCTTGGTTCTTATTTTTTCCCCATTCCCTGTGCT